TAATATTTGTTTTGTTATAGTTTGTATGAGACTATGAGCAGGTGGAGAAAGGGGGAGAAGGAAACCACTATATTTAAAAGGATTTTATGGGCAGTGGTGATCAGACTTTAAAACCTTGATGCTAATATTTGTTTGTTTGTTAATAATTCATAAATGGGTTTTGGAAGACCAATTTGTCTTCAACTATTGTCTTTCTACTTGTTTTTTTCCAGCAGTATCTTATTAAATTGATCCAAATGAATTCAATAATTTGAGATTCCCATATCCAGGTCAGCATATAATGTGTTAAATTGTTGCAAACTACAGAGCAAAGTGTTTGTTAGAACTATAGCGTTTAGAGGGGTCAAAGTCTATAAGCAATAGCTTTTGCCAGTATAGTGAGGTCTAGTGAAGACTGTGACTAGAAACACGGACCTGTTGGTAACTGACTTTCCTGCTGCTTTTGCAGTCATGGTTGCATGGGGAAAAGAAAACTTCATAGTGTTGTTGTGTGGGCTGGATACACTGCTACAAGTATTTGGTGCATGTTTGTCCTCGAGTGAGTCGTCATTCCTAGCAGGGGGCTATTTTGATAACGTTGGCTGAGGACAAACAGCCTTTCCATGATTATTGTCCTAGCCATCTGCTGTACTTCAGTTGAAATTCTTCCAGAATTTGATGTGGTATTGCAGCTAATGCCTGTCCTCACATTAAAAAGTTTAATATTTGTGGTAAAGATACAGTTATATTAGCCTGAGACATTCAGGAATACATTCATCGTTTTCTAATGTCACAACACATCGGTGTCATTCTGAGGTCAACCAATATCCTGCGCCTGAACTCTCAGCTTGTAGCACAATTCTTGTTTATTCCCTATGGGTAGCATGACTTTATACATTTTCAGTATTATATTTCACCCCACTTATTATTTTATTCCCCTAAGCCCTCCTATTACCTTGTGTAAAAGGATTGTTTTCTGTATTGACATTACCTCATTGACATTTCATGTTTCATAAGAAATATTAATGAACATATTTCTACTACTCGCGTGGAAGAACTCAACTCTCCAGCCAGATATTTCCCTAAGCATCACAATGAGACATGTCTTCCCATTAGTCAGTTTTCTGTTCATCTTTTTGTTTCTATTTTAATCGTCTACTTCCTATCTAACCATTTCAGTTTAGTTTGCCAAGTGATGTCAGAGAAATAAAGATGGCCTATAACTATGTGATCAGAAGCTTGATCCCATTCTGTTACTTGCAGTGACGTACAGGCACGTCATGCAGTTCTCTCAAACTCTGAAAAGTAGTTTTCCTTCTGCGATACCTTTTAAAATGTTTCTTATCCTCCCCTTTCAGACTGTCTGATTACCCTGATACATTTTTGAAGCAGTTACCAGCCCAGTTACGGCTGGATCTCTTCTCTGCAAATACATTCCATGATTTGGGATTCAGGTTCCTGATAAAATTCATCTAAGCAGAGGCGGAAAAAGCCCCCAAACAAGTAACCTCCTAACATTTTGCCATAGTACATTTCCTCAGTTCATTGCAATTGACTTTCATAAACTAGTTGTCTTTATTCTTTAGTATTTATCACTTGAAATGCAAAACCTTAGCAGAAAACTTGTTTTTACTTATCCTTTCATAATGAACTTGTGTTTATTTTATTAATGACGCATTTAAAGCTATAGCTAGGGCTATAGAGATATTGTCAGTATGACAGTTGCATACACTGAATTGATTCACATTTGAATCTTTAGGCTTGCAATCTTTTTCTCTTTTTTTTCCTTCTCTCTCTGAGAGCTACACTCTGTTCTGTAAAATTGATGGTTCACTCTGTATTCTGAAAAAACAAATGCACAGTTTAAAACAGTGGACCAGGGTTTTCAACAGACCTGTGCAGCAGACATAAGCTGTGTATGTGTACCAGATGGTACTTCAGTTTGAGACTGCTTGTAATGGTCATGTTTTTAATAACGTTTCAGTAGGAGAAATTTAGATGGTTAGATGTGAAGTCAGCGGATCAGAATTCACTTTCTGATTTTCCTGACACTACATTTCTTCATAGAGAATGTTTTTCAAAAACTATTTAATTAATCGTTAATTTTAGTTGTGATCATCTTCTCAGAGGGCATAATTTTTAGCATCTTATTAGAAAGCCTGTGCAGGAGAGGTCTGTGTAGATTATTCTCATGTCCTTCCATAGCATTGACATAACACTAGTAAGTTCAGATGTGAACAGTGGTCTGTATTGACTTCCGCAAACTTTCCCTGTACTTGTGACATAGCCAAAATTTTTGTGTTATTTTATATCCTCTTCAGTGTCCGTTCCTGAGCGGCAGTGATGGTTAGTCAGTCATCCATCCCAAGACTCTGAAGAGCTTTCCTTTCTTGACCACTTATCCTCAAAAGAATTTTCACTTTGTAACTCACTATGTATAGGATTAGGCGGGGAAGAGGTTGCTTTGAGTCCAGATCTAGCAGCTGACTATTTGAGTTTTAAGTATATTTAACATCATAAGCTACCTGGGAGGAGACACTGTCTTTCTCCTTGTATAGCATTGTCCTAGATGCCTTGACCCTTTTAATAAAGTATATTAACTTTACACATTCAAAACTTGGTTTGCATCTCTGAAAAGCAGTTTCACTAACCAAATCAAAGTAATCAAAACAAAATGGAAGACTGAAAACAAAAACATACTTGGCTGTGGGATTTTGAAGAATCATTATTTTTCCATCTTCTATAACTACATACTGAAACCTAGGTGTTGCACTTTGATAGCTCTCCTTAACACAAATCTGGAGACAAATAAGAAATATCCGAACTCAAAAATAGTCTTCTTGTTTCTAATTTTTTAGATTTTTAATTTTTTTATTTCCAGCTCTTCCTTTCACTTTAAGATGCCTATTAATTTCTCCAGTCCCTCTGCATTTGTACCTTCTTATTCCTTGACCTGTCTTCCATGAGCCTGATGTTTGTGGACAGCCACCTAAACACTTCATCTCCGTGGCAAAATACACTTCAGAAAATGAATGGTTCCAGTCAATCCAGCCTGTGCAATTCTGGGGTTATTCACTGATCAGTTCTGAGCATCAACAGGAGATACAACTTACACCATATCAAAGGTCATAGCTGAGCTTAATTCTTCTTGGAGATATTCCAGTGTACGTGTATTTTCCCATACATTCTTTATAAAGTTCAAGTCTAACTTTAAAAATTATGACTACTTTATAAAGTCATTCATAATGAAAAGTTTAATTAATTTTATTATCACTGTATGCTGTCGGGGAATAATTTTGTACAGACATCCTACTGTTAAAAGCTCCTTAAAAAAGAAAATCTAGACAGCCTCTAGAACCAGATGTGAAAGGTTCTGGCATTGTTTCTTCTGTATTCTGAATGACAAATAAACTTGCACCCTTTTAGCTTCAGACACCAAATTTGCATAAAAGTGGAGAGGTAGGAGTCACGAACCTGAGGATGATCTTCGTCCGACTTAAACTGAGAACTGTTGTTCGGGAAAATAAGGCTCTTCTGTTGCACAGCACTTGTATACCCAAATTCCACTGCAGAAGTAGGCAGTGAATCTGCCAGTTTTCTGTGAGACTTCAGTCTCACTCTGGGGTCCTAAGAAACACGCCTTCTTTACCAAACGAGCATTAACCTGGTAGAATAGATAAGGAAGCACCTAGCTTAACCACATCTGGTCAAATCTACCCATTGTAGTAGGTTATGCTATATTTTACAGTCTTAAATGCAACATTACAAAAACAGAAGAGAAAGCATTTAAGTAAAGCAAAGATGTTTACCGTGTATTACCGTGTTAGAGACATGAAGATAATCTTTGCATTTCAGACCCACAGAAGTAGTTTAAGGAACAGAATAAGTCAACGTGCTGATCTCCTCTTTGGAAAAACCACATCCCTAAATGATCATATCCCTAAAGGAAAGTGGTCTGCAGAGCTCTAATGAGGAGCACATCTGGAGGAGCATTCTGGAGCCGCCCTCCATATAATGACTACTTTGTAGTGATGTGGATGTTTGAACTGAGACGAGCTGTCCTTTGAATATCACCCATCATATTCTTCTCTTGAAGAATCTCAATTATATTTCCCTCTTTTTCTATTTTGATCTTACTTTTGGCTATTGTAATAATGGTCTTTTTTTTTTCCTGTGTTTTGCATCCCTAGTGTAACAAAAATCATTAATTTATGTTTCCTCTCATCTCTGCAACCAGTACATGAATTTTGTATCCCAGACTATGTTAAGAGAGTTTTTTCTGGCACCTCTTCTTTCAAGAAGAACAAAAAGAAACTGATTATTCTCAAAATAGTACATTCCAATGAGAGTGAATATAATGACCGTTATCTATCTCTGTACTGGAGAAATTGAGATGCCAACAATCCAGCATCTCCCTTACACTGCAAGAGGCTGATAAAACATGGTGGCAGACTTCAAGAGACAGATCTTTTAGTCTGGCATGTCTTAAACTTAGATCACCTGTAGGGTAATATTTTTAAAAAGCAGGTCTTAATCACCAAACAGTTGACAGCTAACGGCATAAGGAATAAAAGTTGTTAACATATCTCAGCCTTTCAGTTCTATTTAAAATAAATAGAAGAGAAATAAAGATGTTCTCTATTGAACCTATTAAAGCCATATAATGTGTTGAAAGTGTATGTTATTTTAAATGTTTTATTGAAGGCCACCAGAGCCACGGATGTTGGACTCCTTTGGCTGTGCATCTGTTCATAAGATCACGTTAGTTTAGGGTACCAGGGAGTACTCCCCAAGTTCTCGACTGGAACTGAAGACATCCTGTAGTGTCTACTCATATGGTTTGGGTCATTACTGGAGAATTCTGTTGAATATTTTAAAATCAGAACAGTTCGAAGGTAAGGCTTACCAATATTTAAAAAGATGCAAAGTAAAAGGGAAGAGAAGATTTAGTCTGCTGAAGATGCATTTGTCTGGTATAAAGAGTTTTCATGTTGTGAATAACCTGCCTGTGTCCTTCGCAGGGGAGGAGCTGTGCACCGGCCTCATTTCGGGCTGTTCCTTGGACTGTTCCTTCGGCTTCCAGACTGACATCCATAACTGTGAGATCTGTCAGTGCCGACCGCGGCCGAAGAAGTGCAAACCCATTGTATGTGACAAGTACTGTCCCTTTGGATACTTGTACGTATTCTCATTCTGAAAGCATATTTAATATAATCCCTGTACGTATTGAAAAATGCAAAATCTAGGCATATGTACTTGTGATTAATTTGTGGGAAAGCAGGGGAAAATGTAGGAAAATAGAAATGTCATCACTTGATGTGAGATTAAAGTATTCTTCAGAATGGATTTTGATCAAGAAATTAACAGCAACTAAAAAAACAGCAGCAGATTATAAAAGCAAAGCAGTGTTTAAATTTTTTTGAAGAATATTTAACAAACAAGATGAAAAAGCTACTTACAAGTAACAGCTATTGCATGTAGCTTTTTGAAATTCTGTTTGCGTGTTCTGCTGTGATAGCCTTTCATTTTGTAGCCCATTTATTTTATAATATTTCAAGGGGTTTTTTAATGTTGATATGACAGCGGACTAGTTTTAGTGCGATGTTTCTGATAGTTATTTTACAGGATTCGTCAAGAACAGTAGCGTCTCTTATCTAAGTTTTTGTAAATGTGTTCAAACCTGTTTTGTTGCTGGAGTTCTTTCTCCATAAAAGGAAATATTTGCAGTATTTATTCATGTGTGGAACAGGTGATGAAAACTAGGCAGATCTTTTGTCACATACAAATTTCTTAATAATCAATCTGGTGGCTTCTGTATATATTTTACCAATACATTTTATTTTTGATGGGTCCATTCTGTGATACTGCTTGCTTTTCATAACAGTTTAATTTCTACCTCATGACAGCTGATCTTCAGATAATGTTCATATGTAATTTGTTTTCTTAGTATTTGTAATGAAGTTTACTAATGTTGCAACTCTTAGTGTTCGATACCAATACTTCTTTAATTTCTGGTTTGTTTCAGAGTTCTGTTTGACATTTGTTCATAAACGCTGCAGGTTTTTATAACAGTAATCTATAGTCTAGTGTGTCCTCCTCAGTGCGCGGTTTTAATAAAGTTTGGAGGAATCAAACTATGGTAGAACCTGACTGACCAGAGAGGTACCAGAGATTTTAGAAAAACAGAAATCAAGCTGTAACATGGTGATACTCTCACAAGTTTAATCAGCTCTGCTCATAGATGGTGCCAGTGAACAATCTGTACTCTCTCCAGCCTTACGCCTTCCTTTAATCTTCATGCTATTTTTAGCCACAGAGTGGGGTTCCGCTCAGGTGAATACAGCGTTCTGGTTGACCTCCCTCTTACTGCCCATACAGCTCCTGCATTGTGCGCGGTGCTAAACAGGAGGTGGTATTACGCCAAACAAAAAGCAGACCCATATGCCATGGAACAATCATGGCACAAATATGCTGCAATACACAGCCAAAAAAAAAAAAAAAGAGAAGGAACGTTTGAAGAATATTTGCCTTAAAAACATTGAGTCACTTTTTTTTTTCTGTTAGAAAGGGTGCTTAACTTGTATCCTTGAGGCATCCCTAGTGTAAATACCTACATAATAGCAGTCCAGCAAAACAAAGTAAGGTAATGCCATTTAATATAATCCTATATCTATTACTTGAGATACAGAATTAGGCTTGCCTCTGGTTAAATAATGGAAGTTTTTGCAGGAGACAGCACTCGTGAGAGTGATAGGATTGAAATAGGACAAAATGAGGGAAAGACAACAAAGATTAAATCAAACTTCACTTCTGTCCCCAAAAATCAAAGTTTAGTGGACGAGAGAGGAATAGTAAGAATTTTAAATGAAAAGGTTAATAAAATTATCTTCAGGCATGTTGACTGCAAGAGTGGCTGTTCAGTTTTGCAAGCAAGAGAAGGTAGAGCAGGGATGTCAGGTTTGTCATCCCCAGAACTGTTACCCAGTGGCTTCATAGGCAAGGATGGCTGAAGATGGGTAGCAGAATGAAAGAAACATGAAAGATTGAGCAGAAATAATGACTGGTTGGATGTGTCAGTTTTTTAGATAGACTAAAGCTGCTTACATTAGGGATCAAAGGAGTGAAGTCAATTAGAACAAGTACAAAGCATGCAGAATTGCTTTGAAAGTATCTGGGGAGAGTGACGTTTGAGCCATGCCGTTGAACAGGCACAAAATCCAAGATAAAGTCTCTTAAAGCTGGGAGCCAAAGAGGCAAACGGTGTCGGGGTGTCTGAAACTGAGAGCTCTGCAACGGAATCAGCAG